CGTCGGGGTAGCGTCTGGGTTCTGGATAACCTTTCGGTTACTGCTGCCCGATTTGTGTGTTGACGCTCCGAGTTTTTTTTTTGCTTCATATGTAGCGATATCTGTGCCTCGTGTTACGTTTTTTTTTTTAAAGAAAATTGAATATAATTCTAGTATGTATGTATACACACATGATTTTTGCAAGCATTTTTGTATGTAGGTAAAGTTCTCCGATGCAACACATAAATGTATTGCTTCAATGATTAATCGTAGAACAATAATTGTGTTGTAAATGAAATAAAACAGATATGCGTATTGCTGATTATCTTTACTTTAATCTTATTTAATGATTTAACTTTACATATTTTTGCAAAAATTAGTTGGGTTATTACTTTGTATATTTCATTATTGATCCAGGTAGTCTAATAAACTACCTTTTTTTACTTTCAGGAAAGCAGAATGGGTTCCAGTCAACAGTTCTCTCTTAGATGGAACAATTATTTGAAACACATTACTTGCGCTTTCGACACGTTAAGGACGGACGAGGATCTCGTAGACGTCACTTTGAGCTGCGAAGGCAAAAGGATCAGAGCACACAAAATGCTCCTGTCAGCATGTAGTACATACTTTAGAGATTTATTTAAGGTAAATGCAATTTTGGTCGATTCGTTAGGTGTGCATTTAAATGTGGGAACAACTTTTTGTAACAGTTATTTGTTGTTATAGGAAAATCCGTGCCAGCATCCCGTCATAATATTCCGTAATGTAAAATTCGATGACTTGGCTGCCTTGGTCGATTTCATGTACCAAGGTGAAGTAAATGTCGTTCAAGAGCAACTGGCGAGTTTTCTCACAACGGCAGAGCTCTTGGCGGTGCAGGGTCTCACAGACGGCACAGGAAAGGACGACAGTTTAGTGGAGGTGAGTTGCTAACACGTAAAATGATTAAGGGATTATACAAATCAATATACATTCATTAGGTATATATTCACTACTATTTCACGCTGTTTGAAGAGCCATGTCTATCTCTGATTTTGTTATAATTATAATAATTTTAATGGAAAGAGAATGTAAGTTTCTTTGCCCCAACCTACATTCTGGAGAACTGGATTTGTTTTATTTTAAGTTCATTTATTGTTAACATTATTTGGAGATTTCTGCCTTCCAAGGAACAACGTAATACTTCAATTTGCTCATTTCCAGTTAGCTTAGGATTGAGTTCATGTTTCGGGTATTTTATTTATATTT